GTGTGTACTAGAGAGTCAAGCCAACAGGATTTGTGGAATAGTCCCTTTCCTGAAACTTGTTAACAAAAATTAATAACAAAATCTGAATTAATAAGGTTAAAAAAATTTTTGAATAAAAAATTTAAAGCTAAAATTAGCAAAACTGTGGCTGCAACACAATAAAATAAGCATTGGTGGGCACAGTTCTGCTAATAGCAGAACTAATTTTATGTGTAGCCTTTTATCATTTCCATGAACTTTGTAAATGTTTATCGCTCTTAACATCCGCTCAGTTATTTTCGCAGTTGTGGGAAGATAAAATCTTTCGTTCTGTTCCTCGTTTAATTTGAGTTAGTTTTATTTTCTATTGATATGGAAGGTGAGCTTAACAAAGAAAAAGAAGACGACTATGAAGGGACAAGCCTGGAACCTCCCCAATTTAAAACTGCATATTAAGAGGAAACAGCTAATGCACACCAGCCCAAAGCACAAACACATAAACAAAGTCAGTGCTTCTCAAATGCAGGACATTTGGGCATCCCGCCCACCCTTGTGAGGGATGCGAGACAAGAAGGGGAGGTACAGGGGTCAAAACCAGGACTGTTCCATCTAAATTGGGGTGGTTGGCAGATATGCACCTTAGCGGTTAGCATTAGCTTCCTCTAATTTTTTTAACCTGTTTAGAAGTTTGCGTTTTGAACTATGATGTCTGTTTAGTGAAGCTGGTACGCACCACTGACAATGAGTGCTGCAGTTCAGTAGCTAAAAGCTAAAACCAGCAAATCCATAGTAAAAATAAAAAATTAACAACCTATAACTAAAACTTCAATCTTTGAAATGATAGTTTATTGGCTATAATTGCAAAAACATAACTAAAAATGTAAAACTAACAAAACAGTAGCTAAAACAAAAAATAGCAAGTCAGAAGTTAAAAGGCAGCAAAAGTAAGTAAAAGCTAAAATAACTAGACATGGGTTTTTACGATGTAAAAACAACTGTGCATTGCCATGTGGCATGTCGCTGCAGCATTCATTTGCCTGCAGCAGTGGACTTGCAGAAAGAACTGTGCTCAAGTTCAAATGTGTTTTCTACACCAGCTTGTGCTTGTCAAGTCAGCAGGAGTTTGTAATGAGGATAACTGTGTGACCAAATGAAGTGTGCACAGATTTTTTTGTTAAAGTTGCTGTAGCTGGTTTTGAACCCTGATTTCCCACATGAAAGCACATGGCATTAACCATGAGACCACTGGAGCTGTGGTGGATAGGACTGCCAGGGGTTTGTGTGCAGGAAGAGGCCACATAACCAATGCAATTGTTGACACTAAACTGCAATATATTATAACAATTAAGCAATATTAGGACAATATTACAGTAAAACATCAAAATACTAACATATTTGTATTGTAAACACTGAACTACTGAGTTTAAATATTATTAAACTATGGTGCAGTACCATATTGTGTAGATGCAGCAGGGGGCAGTATTGTACCGATACAAGGCTCTATTGACAACGATTATAATTTATTAAACATTAATATTTCAAAAACTATAAGTTTTACAGGCACCAAAAGGCATAGCCATCATTTGGCACAGGAGCTTTACAGATTTAAATTACAATGGCAGCTCTAGAACAAAGTATGCAGGAGGAGAAGCGTGCCAAAGTGGAGATGACTTGGATGGGAAACAAATCACAATAGTGTGCAGTGCCAATGCACACTGACAAGAGCATAGCTAGAAGCTACGTAAAACTAGCATAAGCAAACAAAAAGTATAGCAGTTGAGAACAAGATTTGAAACGATCTGAATGTATTCCTTTAAGGCAAATACTTTAAGTGAAATAATTCAAACTGCTGTATGAACAGGAAAACAATAGTGTGAATGCTACCTTAGTGTTGATTAATGCAACTGAACATCTTACCGTCTGATCTGCGATGAGCTCCGCAGTCATGGCGAGCGATATGACCAGTATAGTGGCGGAGCCGACCCCCAGCAGCACTGCTGCCCCATACACCTGCTGACCCATCTTGTTGTCCAGCAGCACCCAGTATGAGAAGGCCATGATCAGCACCAGGCCCACAAAGTAGGTGAGCTACAAATACAGAGGACAAGATGAGCACACAGAGCAAAGAAACATTTTCACCTGCCTCTGCATTTCAACGATGTGGATAATCAGTCTGCCTGCAGGGTTTGAGCTTCATTTAACTCTAATTTACTGCTGTAAAACCCCAAGTTTGATTCATCTGTGATCTTTGCATGTTTTCATATTGGCTGAAAATAACATACCGTACTTTCTGGACTATTGAGTGCACCCGAATATAAGCTGCACCACCCAAGAAAAAAAAAAGACTAAAAAATGTACATGCTATTAGTGGATGTCATTTGCAATCATTAGGTAATGCCACCTAATTTGCACCTCTTTGCCTCCTGTGCAGAGGGAGGAGGAGGAGGAGGAGGAGGAGGGGGAGGGTGAGGTCAGTGAAAGTGATTTTTCATGTTTTCATGAAGGGGAACAGAACTTGAAGCGACGCTGTAAAAGTGACTCACACAAGAAAATCACAGCTCAGAAAGCTGCATGTCAGTCTATGGACACATTTTACTCAAACTCAAATATTACTGCCAGACTGTTTGGTCAGTAACTGGGCGGGCGGGCGGCCCCCACCAGCAC